ACGTTTATGAGGTAACACAAATGTTTATGAGGTAACACAAACGTTTATGAGGTAACACAAATGTTTATGAGGTAACACAAACGTTTATGAGGTAACACAAAACAATATGTGAGGTAACACAAACGTTTATGAGGTAACACAAATGTTTATGAGGTAACACAAACGTTTATGAGGTAACACAAATGTTTATGAGGTAACACAAACGTTTATGAGGTAACACAAACGTTTATGAGGTAACACAAACGTTTATGAGGTAACACAAACGTTTATGAGGTAACACAAAAGAAAACATCCCTCATTGATCCTCGGCTGTTTGTATTTAAATCAGTGTTAAAATAAAATCTGCTTGTTTGTCAACAAATCTGATGTTAATAAACATGAAAACAAAGAGAAATCTTTTTTTGAACCTTGACATGTGGAATAAAACCTGCGGCGCCTGTGAGGGACTGAAACATAAAAATAAGCTCCGCCCCCTGCCCCCTCATGGCTCTTTAATAAACTGACGTCAGGTTGTGATTTAAAGAATCTGAGTTTATTAATCCAGCTATAATCTGTTAATCTCTTCAGATTAAATTTTCTGCTGATGTTTGAATAAAAACTGATTTAAATAATCTGATTTGTGTAAAACTTTTTTGTTCCAGGAGTTTTATTCTCTCTGAGCTGCGGTCGTCATGGCGTCCACGTCTGTCACCACGGTGGGCGGAGTCATGATCATCACTCAGGTCATCCCCAAAGACGACGGCTCCATCCCGCTCCAGACTGCTGCGGGCCCTGCGACGCAGGCTCCGCCCCCCACAGCGGTGGCCCCGCCCCCTGCCTCCAAGACGAGCAGCAAGGCGGAGATGTTCCTGCGGGGGGAGCAGCAGGGCCTCGGGGTGAGGACCAGGACCAGGACCTGGGTCTGACTCCAGTCCATGTTTGGAGACTTAAACTGGTTGTGTTCTCAGGTGGTCCAGGTCCTGGTGGGCATCATGTGCCTCCTGTTCGCTCTGACCGCCCTCTACTCACCGCCGCTGATCGTCTACGCCCCGTTTGGCCTCGGCGTCCTCGTATGTAAACACAAACAATCCCAAACCATGATCCTGCCACCGCCGTGCCTCTCCTCTCATCGCTGCAGCCACAGGTTCCAGGAAGTAGCCAGGTCCCATCTGGTGCTTCTGATGTCATGAAGGGGGAGGAGTCAGAATCAGAAAATTATTTATGTTTTATTTCTCCTCTTAGCTAAAAGTAGTACACTTGAAGTTCATTGTACTAAGTATACGTGAGTATAAGTATATCAGGTATAGTAGGCAGCATGTACTTGTAGTGTACGAGAAAATATACTACTTTAATACTCAGTTCTAAATCAGGAATTATTTTAATGTTTATAAAAAGTATACTTTATGTATCCTGTTGTAATGTATTTTTAAGTTTATAAACTTACCAAAAAGAAGTATACTTTAAGTACGTCATTAAGTATACTTAAGTATATAAAAGTGTATTTCACTAAGTGTACTTTTGTTTACCATGTACACTGATATAACTATACTAGCAGTTTACTAACAAACTTCTAGGACTAAACTGGCCCACAATAAGTTTAAAGTATACTCAGAAGTATACTGAAAGTACCTTCTAAGTATAGTTTTTGTTTAATCTGAAATGTACAACAAATAAACCAGTCTGTGTGAAAATGTACTTTGAGTGTACTACTGACGTTTATCTTGGCTAAAAGTTGAACTATTAGTAAGTATACTCAAACTTTTAGTGTACTTTAGTAAAAGCCAAGTGTAGTGTACTTGGTTAAGTATATCTGAGATGAGTACACACAAAGTAAAGTGGAAGTATTTGTGTTGTTTTTCAGTTTGTGGTTTCTGGCTCTGCAGCCCTGGCAGCAGGACGACGCCCCACAACCAGACGGGTCAGATTTTACTTTGTACTTTATTACAAACATCCAGGAGTAAAACTGTGACAGTAAAAACTAAGTATACTAAATCTAAGTATACTTTAGTATACTTGAAGCCGCACTAATCATTATCATACTTAAAGAGTGATATTTTGGAACAACTAATTTAATACTAAATATACTTTAGTTGTACTTAAGTTGTACAAAAGCACAATTTTAAGTGTATTAAGTATACTTTTAAATACTAAAATGGAAAACTTCAAGTATACTTAGTACACTTTAAGTTTCTAGCTTTGTCTGTACACTTAAAGTGTACCAAGTATATTTAAAAAAGAATATATAAAGTATAGTTTAAATAATAT